TCAAGGGCAGGCAAGAGCTGGTCCCCCGCAGGCTTAAAAGCTGGTCCCTCCTCCCCAGCACCAGCTCCCCAGTGATGCTCCCCCTCCCTCCACGGTGCTGTCTCTGTCAGAGGCAGCAACATGGGCGGGGCAATGGGATGGGGGGCTGCCACAAAGCAGCCTCTATCCACAGCGGCTGGGTTCACTGTGGACAGAGGCTGTTCCTTGGCAGCAACTCCTGTCCATGGGGGGTCTGAGCTCCCCTCAGACAGAAGCTGCTGCTGAGGAGCAGCCTCTGTCGGGAGCTTTGGCCTCCCGTGGACAGGGGCTGATGCCACCCCATGCTGCTGCCTCTGTAGCAGAGGCAGCAGCACGGGGTGGCAAGCAGCCAGTCTGCGTGGGGAGCTGGTTTTTAAACTGGCTCCCCTTGTGGACCGGTTTCCACCTGCTACCCTGCGCTGCTGCCTCTGCTTGAGAGGCATTAGCATGGGATGGCAGAGGGTTCCCCAGGGGTGTGGCTGAAAGTGCAATGTCTGCCAGCCTCATTCTTGGGGACTATTGAATAGTCATGTAAGCGCTAAGATTTCATGCAGTTACACGACTATCCAATTACACAATATCTAACGTCCCTAGTAAGTACCAGTTGTTTTTTTAACAAAATTTTGAGTTTCACTGGCTTTTGTTATAACTACTGAATTTCTTAAATTAATTTTGATGGAGACTGATAGAAAAAATAGTAATTGTTAAACCCAGCATTAAAGCATTTCTTAAAACCTGTTTGTTGTTGAGCATTAGCAACGTGCTTAGTGATGGCGCAGGTTAATATCTCACGTTCTCTTTATGCTTCAGGAGGTAGCTGAGTTAGTCTGTACAACAGGATAAACTTAGAAAACAACAAATAATCTGGTAGCACTTTATAGACTAACAAAACATGTAGATGGTATCATGGGCTGTGCCCACGAAATCTCATGATACCATCTACATGTTGTGTTAGTCTATAAAGTGCTACCAGACTATTTGTTTTTTAAGTTTGTTCTTTTTATGATTATTGTTAGCTGCTTGATATCAACATTGATAGAACTATTAAATCATGTGGAATTTGGAATATTCACCTATGAAGGCTGAGTGCCTTTGTCACCCCCTTTAACAGTATTGTATGGATTAAGGTCAGAACTTTCAAAGCATTGTAAGGAAACTGCCCAGCCTTACAGAATTTCATTGCATATGGGCTGCCTAATTTTCTTAGGCTCCTTTTTTTGAGTCCAAGCTCAATAATACAAGTATTTGTAAACTAATGGTTACATTTTAAAACGTGACACTAAAATGACATTGTAGAATACCCATGATTTTCTTTTCCATATTTGCTAGTTTGCAAGTTATGTTTTTTCTATCTGTAATTTTTTTAGTGTTCCCAACCTTGCTCCTCCTAATAGCACAAACTGCTGTCAGCATATTCTTGAAAGGATGAAACATCAGGGTCTTATTCCGGAGAACTCTTCATTATTATTTTTTTTAATTACAGTCATCCAGTTAAGGAACAGAATCAAAACCATATGTCCAATCAATAACAGCTAATGAGAGAGGCACATAGCCAATACATTGTGAGCAATCCATAAGCTGTCACTTGTTTGCATGTAGTATTAATTAAAAATATGAATATTGAACAAATTTGTAATAATGTATCTGTAACTGAACAATTAAAAAATGGAAATACAGTTGAAAATTGAGCTCAGATCCTGAAAATTGGTCCAAAAACAAAGCATCGATTTTAGTTTTGAGCTAAAATATACCTTCCCCAACCCCTTTGGGAGTTAGTACTCATTAGGCCTGAGAAGCTGAGAGAGACTTTTTGTTCCTAGCAACTCTACAATTATAGTGAGTTCATAAAACATACAGGCTTCCAACCTTTATTCTACCTCATGCTCGTGGCAGTGTAACTATATCAACACATCTGGGAGAGACAAATATAGATCTGTTCAAGAACACCCTCCCACTCCCACCCTCCAAAAAAAAACCCACCTGAGAGTCTGAGAGATTGTGACATTGACGTCCTAAGTCAGTTTCTGTCCCAGGATGCTCTGTAGGCAGTGCAGTAATTTATTGCTACTTACTAATGGTATAGATCACAATGTCTAGTAATATTTGTTTCTGGAAATTTAACTCCAAATATTTTTACTTCTGTATTCTGAAATTTTATAGGAAGTATGTGGAAAGATCTAATTTGACTGGTTTTTCTTTAATATAAAAATAATTCTAGACTTACAAAATGCCTTCTGCTCTGTTTGTTTTTAGGACAAAGTGGTTGCCATTCAGTTCTGTAACAATGGTGACAGGTAAGCATGTTTTTCGGACTTTTTCAAGTATGACATGTTGTATATAATTTTCCAAGTAACTTTTTGAGAGAGGTTAATTTGTTTGATAAAAGTACTAATACTTGTCCGAGGTTATACAGTGAGCCAGTGGCAGTGCTAAGTCTGGATTCCATATCTACTAGTATAACCACTACTCCTAGGGAATTTTGTGCCAAAAATTAAAAATTGAGCACGCAGTATTTTATAATTCTGTATATTTTGTCAAAATAACACAATATAATCATTCTAGTTTTGGTTATTTTGGTAATTTATTTCAAAATACCTGTCAGCGAGTATGTCTGCAACAATACAGATGGCAACAAAGATTCCACCACAAGTAGAGATTTAAAGAAACTCCTACAACTTCCCAGTTTCTGTTATTCTTTTGTTGAGTGCCTCTGTCTGGGTGTGCCATATGAGCCAGCTGGGCACATCTAGAGGGAGAACTCGGTCTTCAGACAGTTCTCATTTTTTTGCCATGGGGGTTACTATATTTCAAGTTCCCAAATACAGCAAGCTGCCAACAAGAAAAGAGGTGTGGGGGATATAGTTGGGAGGTGCTGGAGGAGGTGTTTAGGGGCTGTGGAAGGGGTCTGTGTACTGGGAGAGGGAGGGCTGCATGGGTCTCTCAGCCCAGACACCCACACTGCCTCCCTTCTGGAGCGCAGGTGCTGACTGCACTCCATGCAGATTAGGATCAAGCCCCGCAACCAGAGCATGCAGACCAGGGTGACCAGATGTTTTGATTGTATAGAGATAATCCTGATATTTGGGGCTTTTTCTTATATAGACACCTATTACCTGCCACCCACTATCCTGATTTTTTCATACTTGCTATCTGGTCACCTTAGCGCAGAGGCTACAGGACCAGATGCTCCACTAACTATGAGCTGGGGAGTTGGGCTCTGTTGGGTCTAATGACCTCTAGCGGTGACAAACTGTTTTGCAGCACCAATTCCACAGGGAAAAATGAAATTTGGCACAGAATTCACCCAGGATTATGCTACTAAAAATGCTAAGTTTTTTTTTTTTAAATTGCTTAGAAAAAAAATCCGGCATCAAATTCTGTAACCTTACTCCTGGGTGGACTTGTATTCCAAAAGGAGCATTATTGATGTGATGAGGTATGGTCACAGAAGACCCCTTGGAGGTGTTTCCTGGAGTGCTGACAAATCCACTGGAACTCACCTCCTTGTTCTCTGGGGCTTTTCACCACCCTGTCCTGCTGGGCTAGCTTACCTGGTCTCCCCCAGCCACGGCACAGAGCTGAGCTCACTATCCCCTGGAGGAGCAATACAGACACTGAAATTCTTCAGGTTCGAGGAAAATGCAGTTTTTGGTCCAGCTTCCAGGGAAACAACTCCCCAGATGGAATCAGAACCCCAAATGATTTATTTAGATAACCCCCATTTAACAACGAAAGGAGGACGTACACACTGATTATTGATTACACTGGGCTTGATAGTAAATATTTTATTAAGTACAAGCAGTAGGATGTAAGTGGTTGCAAGTGAAAACCAACAGAGTAAAGTGAATTACAAATTTAAAATAACAAAAAACGCATAGCTAATTCTAACACTTATCATAAACTTACTACAAACTCACCCTAAAACTGTTCTTATTCCGGCTAAGCCTCCAAACCAAGGAAGTCCTCTTTTCCGTGAGGTCTTCAGTTATCCTCTTGGGTGTGCCATGCCAGCCAAAGACAAAGAAGCTTCTCATTGTTTTATAGATTCCATTTTGGGCAGGAATTCTGTTTCAACATTCCACCCTTGCATGGAAAATTACCTGATTAAAACCTACCAGTTGGGAGAGGGTCATGGGACTTCCTAGGACTAACCACTGCTAAGAATTAAAGGACAGAGGAGGCTGTTTACAGTTGATCATCTAGACATTAAGGATAACACCCTTTATGGCTTTCATTTATACATTTAAAACCAAAAAGCATTCCATACTTCATATATCTAACTTTACATGCAAAAATGACACACACACCAAAATAAGAACTACAGATCCAGCAGTTTATGACATTAAGATTGATAGGTTACATGATATTTTGTCCAAAGCATCTTTGAGTTATGCATATTTGTGTCCATAAGCCTATTTCATAAAGCATGGGGGAGAGGCCTGTCAGAATTGAGAACAGTGGGATTATGTAAGATAATAGGAAAAGCTGTTGTGTCTCAGAACAACAGTCCATCTAGCCTAGTAACCATTCTTTTGACAGTCACCGATGCCAGATGCTTTAGAAGGAATTAAGAGAACAGAGCATTATCAAATAATCCATCCCTCCTTGTCCAGTTCCAGCTTCTGGCAGTCAAAAGTTGAGGGACATCCAGACCAAGGGATTGTCCCTGACTATCTTAGCTACTAGCCACTTAGAGACCTATCCAACATGAACTTACCTGATTTTTTTTTTAAACCCAGTTGTACTTTTGGCCCTTACCATATCCCTTTGCAACTAGTTCCACAGGTTGGCTGCAATGGTTGAAGAAATACTCCTTACATTTGCTTTTAAATCTGCTGTCTTTCCAGTTCATTGAGTGACACCTGGGTCTTGTGTTATGTAAAGGAATAAATAACACTTCCCTGTTTGTTTTCTCCATAGCCGTCATGATTTTATAGAACTCTATCACAACCCTCCCTAGTCATCTTCTTTCCAAGGGTATGTCTACACTGCACGGCTATTTCTAAATAAGGTATTCCGAAATAGCTTATTTTGAAATAGCACACCTACATTGCAGGGAGCCTTAAAATTAGTCCAAGGCAGGCTTCCCTAATGTAGAAATGCTCTCTAGATTTAGAACCCCAGGAGGCACCGGGGAGGAATAACTTAGAATTGCTCTGGTGAGGAGCTATTTCGAAATAGCAACAGTGGAGTGTCTACACACACCTGATTTTGAAATAGCTATTTTGGAATAAGCATTATTTCTCGTGGAATGAGGTTTACAAAAGTCAGAATAAGCCATCCGTCATTTCGAATTTATTTTGATATAATGGAATTCCTGTGTAGACGCTCACATTATTTGGAAATTACACTAGTTATCTCGAAATAATGGTGCAATGTAGACATACCCCAAGATGAAAATCATACTTCTGGAGAGTGGTGCTAGTCCGCATGCCTAAGGGTACTGGAATCTGATTGTTAAGTGAAAGATTAACAAAATCTATAGGATTGTTATGGATGCATAGATGTCCCAGCAAGTAAACTTGATGTTATGCTTTGGAGGGTGACCTTGCAAAGTGCTTAGTACCCTCTATCTCCATTGATTGTAATAGGAATTGAGGTTTCTAAACGTCTCACAAAAGGTATTCTGTGTCTTGTAGGGTTAAGTTCATACTGAGTAGCATGTCTTTATTTTTTAATTCTGGCAGGACCAACTATGCCAGTAAACCTAGGTTTCTGTATGTTTCCTACATAATTAACATTTCAGCTGGAAATTGCAGGTTAAAAGATGGCATCTAAATTGTCAGTTCTGCGGCCTTAGTCACATTAGAGCAAGTTTTTAAAATATGCAGGTTGGTGGGGGGAGGGTGAGAGGGAGCGTTTGCTTTGCTACAGCCTAATACCTTTAGAGTAACTATTTTTCTTACAGAAAGCAGGTGCAGTGCTTCCTGGAACTTCAGAGAGCTGAGGAAGAGTGGTTACTATACCGCTCTTGCAAAGCTCAGCCAGCCCTTATGGCAAGCAGAGGGGAGACCCTGGCATAGCCCTGCTTGAAACAGCTACAATTGGGATTAGTGGTTTTTGAACTCAGAGGAGCTGTATTTTTCCCATGTCTTACATTGAGACGCAAAAGAGGGAGGCTACTTCTGTTGTCTTCCCCCCCACCCATTTCACAATTTTCCCTTTGCATTTAGGCGCAACACAAAATTCTTAGATTTCAAAAGCAGTGTGCGCTTAGATCAACATCCTAGTGACGCAGTCTACAGAGCAGCTGGCCGAAAGGACCCAAGAACCCTATTTGATATGGAATGAAAAGACAATTTTATTTCCTCTTTTTCTCTTTGTTGATTGTTTTTTAGAGGTGGGGGAGGAAGGCAATCAATTCAATTTATACTCTCATTTTTTTCTAAATTTAGCATGTCATATTAAACAAAAGCAAAGAAATTAAAAACTACAGCTCCATCAGAATATGATTTTAGTTCTATAGCAGAGATAGTGGGATTAAGAATGTTATTTGGTTTTTATATCTGATTTAATAGAAAAATATCCTCTATTGCACAAGCTTCTGAATGCATTTCTGTCATTTTTTTTGTTTATAAAAGCCAACAGTTGGTGTATATTAAAGCCCTTTCCAAATAGCATAAAACTGCTGATATGCTGCAAGACAAGACATACTAACTATGGGTATGTCTACACTACAATGTTAGTTCGAACTAACGGACGTTAGTTCGAACTAACATTCA